GCCCAGTGGGTCCAGCAGCCCCCTCTCAGGGCTGTGTAAGCCTCCAGAGTTTCATAAGCTAGAGGGTGGGGCACACAGCCCAGAAATGAGGAACTCCATTCATTTCCAGCTAGGGTCCTTTGGCTAAGGTGCTGATGCGGGGTCACCACTCCTACTCTACACCCTCGAGAAAGGGCCCAGAGTGGAAGTAGCATTGGGCATGAAGGTGAAGACTCTCACAGACTCATCAGGGACTTTCCCCACCTGGCAGTTGGGGCCTTTTTTAGGCCCCAAACTCATAAGTTTTCAAAAGGAAAATGATCTTTGTGATCCACCCACAGCCCACCCTGGGCACTCAACTGCCAGCCCCCCACTCCAATAGGGCCACATCAGTTCAATACCTTGAAACAGTCATCCTGGAGGCAGAAACCCCTGGCCCCAGTTAACAGATGAGGAAACAATGACCCAGACAGGAAAGGCACCTGCCTACTCAAGGTCACGCAGCGAGAAAGTGGTGGGGACAGTGGCCATCTTTCAAGCCCTCAGATCCCAATTGGAAGAGAGTGAGGAGCCCAGGGCATTCTGAGGAGGATGAATTAGGACGCTCTTCCTGGAGAAAGAAGTTTCCTATAAGCAACCTGGTCCACTCACCACCACTCCCTGATCCCTGCTGACCTCTCCGACACTGCACCACACCCCACAGTCATCCTGCCCTAAACCCCCTGATGAATTTCTGTGATTCTAAATAGTACATGGCCTGTCCCAACTCCAAGTCTTTGCTCACACTTCCTCCTCCACTTGGCAAACCCTTTCCCCCCCAATTCCTGCTCATGCTAGCACTCCAGCCTCCTCCTCAGCCACTCCTGAACCCCTCACCCAGAACCGGACTAAGGCCTCTTATCTATGCCCTCATCACGGCCTGCTCCATCAAAGCCATTTTCACAACTTATCCTTGGCCGACCAGCAGCCCTGGCAAGCAGAAGCCATGCAGGGGCCTGACCTGGCCTGGCCTGGGGCTGGGCACCTAAAATACAGACTGTTCCAGAACATATCTGGAGGTGTCTTTAAATAATAAAGGTCATTTTACTTTTTTTTTTTTTTTCCAATTTAAAAGTAGTGCTCTTGAGCCACCAAATAAATAAGGAAGCTTTGGATTGTGACCCAGACCATAAAGTAAATATCCGTGAGGCTCTGCTGATATAAATAAGTCGGTCATTTATGTAAACAAGAAACGAGACCCGACAACTCCCATGAGGAATCCCAAATACTATATTGACCTACACCCTCTATGAGGAGGGGGAGCAGAACCCCTCGCTGCCTGTGTATCCCTGTACACACCGACTTTCTTCCAGAGAGGACCGTGTGGGAGGCAGGGACCCCCGACACACCTCAGCCAGGTGCCGCAGGCTCACGTAGCCGTGAGGCAATGCCAAGAATCGTGCGTCACCTCTGACAACAACTCCCAAAAACCCACCCACGTCTAATGTGAAAACCATCCTGCAAGTCCCCCCAAGAAGTGGTCCACAGCAGCATGATCAGAATTCCCAAGAGTCAAGGTCATCAGAAGCAGAGGCCATCTGAGCATGTGTCCCCCAAGAGGAACCCAAGGGGGCTTGGCGACGAAGTGCCACGTAGGATCCTGCCCGGGGACCTGGAAGTGGGCAGGATGGCTGGGGAGAGCTGGGGAGAGCTGGGCCACATCAAGCCTTCGTGGGGCCATCCTGGCTCGAGTGGTGAGTGACGGGCCGAGCTAACGTCTGACATACAACAGTGAGGCTGGGCGGGGGTGGCAATTTTTCTGTAAATCCAAACTGTTTTAAAATTAAATTTGTTTTAAAAAGCAGTACCTGTGCACTGTACCAAATATGGAAACAAGAGAGAAATAGAACTAAAAAAATCAGAACTTTCACAGTCCTCCAGCCCAGACGCAGCCGCTGAGAACCAGCGCCATCCTCCTGGCCGTGGTATGGCATGTTCTGTTCCTAGAGTAGAAATCACAGTGGGGTAAACTATTTACCCACAGTTTATTTCTCAAGGAATTCAGGCACCGTGGGGAGGAGAGGTCGGGGAGCTATTTCTGGCCTTCTGTGGGGGCGGATCCCCCCACCTCCCCTGCCTCTGACTTAGGTTGTGCTTTGGGTTGACACACAAATGGGACCAAAGAGACCATCTTAAGGATGTTCCCTGCCTGCGTATGGCCAGGGAAATCCTGAGGAGGGTCCCCCAGCAGAAGCCCAGGCCCCGTTCCCAGGCTAGACAGGAGAGGTTCGTTCTGTTGTAACACCCCGATGACTCGATAAAGCGTGGCGCTGTCTCAGGATGCCAAGGACCCGATTTAACCCTCCCCAGAGAGGCCAAGTCCACAAATAACTCTCAATGTAAAGGGTGGCTGCCCATGACTGGCTCCAGATGATCAGTCTGCGCCATTGACACATCTGGATGGTGGCTTCTCTTTTTCCACCCAGATGTTCAAAGCCCTGACAGCACACCTGCCACCGACCGCTAGGCCACAGGAAAGCCCCCAAGCCCTCTCTTTCTGGGAAGAGGCTGGGGTCTCTCACAAAGGGCCAAGAGGACGATCACCCCCTGGAATCAAACATGGGACCCACGCAGAGACGACTGCCTGCGCCAGCCATCCAGCCTCCGGTCTCTCCTCTGTTCTCATGCCCCCTCCTGCCCTAGAACACCCCATGGCTCCCCGTGGCTTCCATTATAGGCAGTGGTTCTCGACTGGGAGTGAATTTTGTCCCCCAGGAGACATTAGGCAATGTCTAGAGATAGTTTTGTTGGACACAGCAGGGAGGTGCTACTGGCATCTTGGAGCATAAACAGGCATGCTGCCTGCATCTAAAGTCCCCAAAGGAAGAATGCTGCAGCCCAAGGTATCAGCGATGCACTACAGCAAGGTCCAGTCTCCAGCTTGCCGCTCTAAGCCCCACCCCCTGCTCCCCAACCTGAAGCCTCCAGACAGTGTCCCCAGCACAAGCCACATCCTGCAGCCTCCACACTTTGCACACATCCTCCCCATGACTAAACTCTATGCTTCTTTCAAGGGCACCACCTCCAAGAAGTCTTCCCTGATCATATGTCCAGGTGGATTGCAGTCCCGCAAGTGGGCACTGATGTCACTTCACCAACCTCAGACAGAAACCTCAACAGTCAAAAGGCTCAGGGTTTGCAGGGCAGCCTCTGGGCCCAGGCAGCTGTAAGTGAGCTCAGCTTAAGCTGCACGGGATTTCTTTTGTACCCTGGCCCAGTCACCATCATGGGAACATCAGATGTGACATAAAATCCCTCATTTTCCTTCTCTAAATCCTCATTTCCTTCTTCTCTAAATGGCAAAGGAGAAACCGCAATGCCCACATTCCGTCTTCCCAGAAGTCACGGGAACATCCCCAGCGTGGCTCTCTGGGGTGGGGGGGGGGCGCAGTACCGTGTCCCCCTCTTCTCACTCACATTCATGTCTGACCCTGGGGGCACTGGAATTTGAGACCTCCCACCCAGTCCATGCCCCCGACCCTTCAGTTTATAAAGGGGAAACTGAGGCCCAAGACACAAGATTATCCAAAGTCATATAGTCAGTGGCAGGACCAGGGTAAAGACCCAGGAGCATCCTAAGGATGACACTTTCCCCCTGAGAGTGCTGCACAATCTCAGAGTGGAAGAGGCCTGGAGGACCTGCGTGGGGGTCTCAGGGTCACCCCCTTGTTGACAGCAGCTGACAGGGCAATCTCTAAGCTCCTCCTGCAACCAGCCTTCTGGGGTCTGCAGCCTGACCACAGCACTGCAGGCTACGTGTCTACTAAAGCACCCAGCCCTGTCACTCACCCAGCCCTGTCACAAGCTTTGTACGCATCAGCACCCTTTGTCCTCACAACAACCTTAGCAGGAGGGATGATTATTCTCGTACCCATTTTTCAGTGAGGAAACAGAGGTTTTGAGAGGTTAAGGAAGCACCTAGGCGAAGTGGAGAGGCCAGGGTTTGCACACAGGTGTCTGCATCCAGAGGCGATGAGCTGACCACGGGGCCCTTCTGTCACCGGGCACTTGCCAGATCCTGCCTGCCCTGCCTGCACAGGAAGCAGAAGCAGCGGGACCAGCAGCCTCTGCAGCCCACCACAGCAGGCCGCATTTACGCTGATTTTGAGGAAGCCCTTCCAGGCTCATGAGAGAACTGTCAACCACAGGCTCTGAGTCACCCTAAGAGGAAGGAGCCTGGGTCTGGGGGAGCTGGGTGGTGGCTCTGAGCTATGGGATGAGGGGGATGGGCCTGGACAGAACCGAACAAAGACCCTGACCTTCAGCCACCGAGACAGAGGGTGAGCTGCAGGACTGGGGGTCAGGGATGGGCGGGGTGCAGAGGACCGTGACTCACTCCGAGTCACTCTGTGAGTAAACAGGAGGCAAAAGCTCAAAGCCCAGGCTGTGCACACCAGCCTCCACAGGAGAACCTCTGCTGGGCCCTGACCCCTGGGTTGCCCCACAAGAGCTGGGACCCCTTAAGTCCCCCTGGGCCTCCTGCTATGAGCACAAGGTCTGTTCTCTCTGAGGAGGAGAAGCCAGTGGCTTGCCAAGCCCTGAGCTAGGAGGACTCAGCCCCATCCTCTCCCCCTGGAAGCACAAATGGGAGAGCCCTTCTCATCCCCCACAGCCCAGGCCCCGGGGAAGAGACGAAGCTATACTGTGTCCCCACAAACTGGCAGCAGTCCCAGCCCTGTTCCTCCCAGGATTCCTGGCTTCCAAGCACTTTCACATCTGCTGCTCCCTTCGCTCCTGGTGACCTCGCCCTGCTACTTTGCCCCTTTAACAGAGACAGAAACAGCCACGGCGACTGTGCCTGGAAGGAAGACTCCGATTCTCACCACGGTTCGGCTCCCCATTTGACAGAGGGGGAAACTGAGACCCAGGGTAGGGAAGGGGTTCGTCTAGAGGGCAGTGAGCCTCGGTTCTCCCGCTGCAGGGGGTGCAGGAGAACAGAGCCCCACCACACCACACCCGTCTCCCTGGGCCTCCACACTCACCACATGGTACACAGCCAGGGCAATGGTGGCGATGCGGACATTGAAGCAGCAGCAGGTACTGCGGACAGCAGAGGCGCTGAGGGCCATGGTGTGGCTGCTGTCCCCTCCTCTAGGCACTGAGGGGGAAGGAGCCGGGGCCAGAAAAGGGGAAGCTGCTGGCTGCCCTTCTCACTTCCTTCCTGCCCTTCAGGCAGGCAGGGGCAAGAGCGTCACCACTGGGCGGGGCCGCTGGGAAGGGCTCAGGGGCCTCAGAGCTAACACCCCCCACACACCCACACGATCCTGGAGGGGTTTCCCTGGGGAGAGGCCCAGGGAACACCTATATCGGCAGGGCCAGGTTTGGGCAATTTCACACACCCTGTCTACAGGAGGCTCGCCACCCCCTGGGACGCAGGGACTGTTTCCAAACCCATTTCCAGATAAAGAAACAGAGGTCCAGAGAGGCCTTGGCACACACAGCAGTCAGTCGGGTGGCAGGATTCAAAGGCAGATGGAGCTATAGAGGGAACTATTGTCTAGTATTTCTTCCATGCTCTAAACATACTCCTGAATTAACCCTTGAATCTTCACCTCAACCCTCTGAGGGAGGTAGTAGTAGCAGTAGTAGTAGTAGTAGTAACATTTTATGAATGAAGAAACTGGTCCAAAGAGGGGGAAATCACTTGTCCAAGGTCACACAGCTAGTCCATGGAGGAACAGAGACTTGGACTGGGAATGAGTGGTTTTTGCTCTGTCCAGAGGCTGAGCTCACTCGAAACCTAAAACTTCCAGTGGAGAACACAGCTGGACCTGGAAGCTCATATTCTCTTCCCTCTAGAGAGAAGTGAGTTCTGCCTGAGCTCTGAAGAGATGCACAGGGTTCCAAAGAGAAGAATGACATTCTTCCAGAGAAGAATGACAGAGCAAACCCATCAACCACACATCAGCCCCCGCTGAGGTCTCCCCCACCCCCGCCCCGCCCTTAGGGAACCCCTTCTGTGGGCCTCAAGGCCCTCTGATGATCACCTGCAATCAGGAATCTTTCCCCCCTCACTCTTGGGAAAAGCTGGAATTAACAAACCGTGACTATTAAGCACGCTACACTGGAGCTGTAGCCCTCCTCAGAGGATAAGTTATCTGTATTGCAACAGAGAAAAGAACTATGAGACACTTGCAAAATTCCGTTCTTACAAAAATCAGCTCTGCCCAGATGCTGAGCTCACTTGAAACCTAAAACTTCCGGTGGCAAACACAGTGGGACCCGCCATGAATCCCACCTTCACACAAAACCATGGGGCTAGGACTGGCCATTATGCCCGCCCTTCATTTCTGTCCCCAGAGAGGTTATAAAGGGTCTCTAAGCTCCACCCCTTGGCAGGAATTGCTCTCTTGGACCCCCGAAACTTGGCTGGTGCATTTGATCAAACCTTTCTCTGTTTGACAATGAGACGAAGGGGCCTCTCTGCAAGCCCGGGGCTCCTGGGTGACTCAGCCAGTCCTTCCTCTACTTCATTTTCAAGCCTGCTTATTTTTCACCATAGGCCTTGCTGAGATCGATATCGTTGGAAGGTGGTGCAGTTGGAAAGGTTAGGAGTTCAGGCTCCACGGCTATGGCCTGGGTTCAAATCCTGGCACCTCTGACTGGGTGGCCAGCAGTAAGAGAAACCCAGCCGTGTCTGAGAACAGAGGGCAGGAGTGGCCAGAGCAGAGGCGGGGAAGGCCCTGAGGCATGCTGGGGAGTCTGGATTCAACTGTACTGGGAAGACATTTGAAAATTTGATACCGTAGTAAACAGTAGCCATTCATGACATTCCAATTTGGTAAAACCAGACCAACTGTGGATTCAACCCCAAAGAAAGGCTGAATCCACTGAGGCTATGTGAGATCATTGTACAAGGTCTACAGATGAATACTTTTCATGTTTATAGTGATAAATTCATTGTAAAGTACATTATACAGTTATACATGACTAGCCCATGAATTTTGATTTTCCACTTATGGGAATCATATAAAGTCTCATTTTAAAACGGATGCATTCAAATTTTAAAAAACAAGAGGCTGAATTCAAGAAAAAGATTAAGGACGCCACGCCCAGGAGACAAAGAGATGTGGCAAAGAGCCACAGAGGTGAGTGTCACAGCTTGTGGACCCTGGTGCGTGAGAAATCCCAGCTCCCGCTTAGTAGCTGTGTGGCCTCAGACCAGGTGCTTGAACTCTCTGAGCTATTGTTTCCACATCTGCAAAGCGGAGGCAGATGATCCACTGCGGTGAAGATGAAATAGGTCACGTGCAAACACGTTTGTTTGTTTCCTCCCTTCTCATCCACCCTGTTCCCCCACCACATCCACCCTCAGGCTGCTGGGATGAAGCAGAGCTGGGATTTAAACCCTGCTCTGTGTGAGGCTAAGTCCTGGACCACACCTTCAGGAGAGGTCAGTGACCTGAGGGGTAGCCCTTCATGGGCCAGTGGCACCTCCCAGGCACTGTCTCCCTCCCAGAAGCACCCTCCTTCTGACCAGCCATTTGTTCTTCCAGGGGTCACCAGCCTCAAGCTTCCTGGGTGCTGGAAGCTTGATCCTCTTCCCCACCCCGCAACCCTCCCGCAGAAGGGAGGGCTGTCATCCCAAATGGCCAGCTCCTCGGCCAAGTGCGTCTGCTAGGCAGAAAATCCTAACTCCTGGAGCCTGTGCCTATGTGTTCCCCACAAAGGGACTCTACCGCTGTGAAAAGTTCACTGTTTTGAGATTACCTCAGGCTATCTGGGAATGCCCAGCGTAACCCAAAGGGCCTTGTAAGTGAGGGAAGATGCCGAGGATATGTCAGCCAGAGCTTGGAAGACTCTGCTCTGCTGGATCCAAAGTTGGGGGAAGGGCCATGGGCCAGATCTTGGGCAGAGCCCCCTGTTCCAAAGGAACCTGGCCCTGCAGCCCCCTTGTTGTTAGCCCAGTGAAACCCATTCTGGATTCCTAACCTCCAGAACCGTACAATAATAATTCTGAGCTGTTTTACGCCTTTGAGATCATGGTAACTTGTTATACTCCACTCACCAGAGTCCATCATGGAGCCAGGGTCTCTGACGCTGAGCCCACACAAGCTCCCTAGTGTGTTCCTTGACCTCGCTGTGTGACCTTGGGCAAGCCCTGGCCCTCTCTGAGCCTCGGCTTCCTCCAGCATAAGGCAGAGTTGAATGACAGCACCCCCCCAATATTTGTGAAGAATACATAAGAAAATGCACCTGCAAATGACAACACTCCAGTGTCATTCACTCCCAGCCACCCTCTTCCATCACAAAAATGACATGTTTGCAACTGAGCTCTCTGTGTTCACCGGTGGAACCCTGGAACCTTCAGACCTTCCAAAGCCCTCAAGGTCAGACAGAATCGTTCCACATTTCCACGCCCCCAGCAAGGTGGAGGCAGGTCCGCTTGGGCAGCTGCCTCCGAAATGCTGTTTCTGACCCAGGCCGCTTCTGAGACTTCCTCAACTTCGAGCTGATTCCCATTTCCTGGAAAGTCATCTTTATTCCCAAAAAATGTCTCTAGTTCTGCTAGAGTGTCTTGCTCAATAATTTGCTACTGAGGTATATTCTCCTTTAAACAGATGTCTCTGTTTCCTCAAAGGCAGAGTTACTGGTGAGTTTTCTTTGTGAAAGCCAGAACACCATCAGAACTTCCTTGTTCACCCACATGCCTGGAGGCAAAAATAAAACCTGCAACTCTGCCAGGTCTCATGTTTAAAACAAAGGATTTAGGAGTCGCCAGTCCTTTCTGTTAGTCCAGATAAAGCCTGGCTCGGCCTGGCTCGTTGTAACAACTCAACAATGGGGGCTGTTTTGATTAAGATTGTTCTATGATTATTTCTGTCCTTAATAAAGTTGTTTCCAGGTTTGCAATTCAGCTGCACCTCCCCAACCCAAAACCAGAGAAGAAAATAGTGAAGAGGTGTGGATCTGTTCCTGGAAGCCCACAGGCTGGGGACTACTGCCGGACACACAGACCAGAACACAGTCCTCCTTGGGACAGCTACTGTGCATGTTCAGCAGAGGGTGAACCCCAGGTTTCTTCCCTGGGGGAGGTGGGGAGCACTCCTGGGTGCCCTCTGCAGCTCACATAGGCCAAAGATCAAGCTCCCTGCCAAACCACTGGCCTAGAATTCCTTCCTGACTGCCCTCACTACACATGAGATCTGGAGGTGGAACCTGTAAGGTCAAAGCCAACATTCTGGAAAGATGCAAAACTACACAGAACTCCCTCAGCCTGCCCACCAGGGACTGGAGTTGAGGGTGCACATGCAGCATCGGGTCCGTCTTCTACTCCCCTGTCCTGTGGACCTTGTTCTCAAAGGGTCAGCTGGCAGGGATGGGCCCACAGGCCCCCACACATGGAGTACAGGCCCGCCTGTGACAGGTTGGTCAGTCCTATGTGCAGGCAGAGGCCCCGAGGCTGTCTGGGTAACACCCCCTCAAGGAGGCTGCCCCTCAGCCAGTAAATCAAGGAGTCACTGAAGGCACCTGGGGCACAATCATGCCATATACTGGTCTGTCCCTGCTGCCATTGGCTCCTCAGGCAGAAGGCCCTGGCAGGAGGCCAGGCTGAGGTCGCCACAGTCAGAAGGGGTACTGACTGTAGACCACCTGGGAAGCCATACAGGTGCTCTCTGCCTGAATATTAACTCCAGGCATTCCCCAGGGTCCTCCATCTTGGTCTGTGAGTGCACCCGGGGGTGTTCACAGGGAGCGGAGCACTCACTCCAGAGCTGGGAACTCCACTCCCCTCCCAGTGCTGTCTCCACCCAGCCTCTGCCTGTCTCTGAAGATTTAGAGCTGGAATCATCACGCATGTCCCGGCTGCTGTAAGCACTGGGGGGCCATCAATCGCTGTGAGGCATCAACCTCCAGCAGTGCCTCCCGCCTCCTAGCTGTTAGCCCCACCTGCCCGGGGAAGAACTTTGTGGCCCCAGATCCCAGGTCCCTGAGAGTTGGCAACTAAAGGGCACACCTGCGTTAACAGTAACAATGACCTCAGTAGGGCATTTCCCCCAGATAGGGAGTTTCTATTTACTCAAATAATAACAACAACAAGTAAACAACGAAAGTGATTGGCCCTCCTAAGGGTCAAGATCCTGGAAGGGAATTTTTTTAAAGAGAGGC